AGACCACATGTGTCTGAAAATTGTTATTCTATATTTTATATGCTTGATTGATAGTTTGGCTAGGTATCGAAATGTAGGTTGGAAAACATTTTTCTTAAGAATTTTAAAGGCACTGCTCTATTATCTTCTTGTATCTGTTGCTGAGAAATCTGAAGCCATTCTTATTTCTGATTTTCCCCTCAGTGGAAGCTTGTAGAATCTGTTACTTGTCTCCAGTGTTCTGAAATTTCACTGTCGTTCCTTGATGTGAATCTGTTTATCATTGGTTGCTGGCATTCACTGGGCCCTTTCAGTTTGGCAACTCTTGCCTTTCAGTCAATTTTTCTTAACTGATTTCATTGGTGATATCTTTCTTCTGCCATTCTGTCATTACAGTGCAAATTTTTGGATTGGTGCTCCAATTTTCTTAAATTTTTCTATTTACAACTTTGCTCGGGTAGATTTCTTCAACTTTATCATCCAGTCCTTTTACTGGTTTATTTTTTCATTTTTTTAAATTATGTTCTTAAATTTTTATTTTTTCATTCCTTGCCTGTAGTATTCCATTCTCGACACATGAATGAGTATCTTTTCTTACCTGTGGTTATTAATTTTTTTCTTTTGAGGTACATAAAATAAAATTCACTAATCTTAGTGTATAGCTTGATGAATTTTGACATGTATTTACTCATGTAACTACTGCCTTGTTCAAGATACTCATTTTTTTTCCCCCTTCACATATTTCACCCATCCCTCCAACCCTGTCTCCTGAGGTAACTACCAGTCTGTTCTGTTTATAAGTTGGTTTCAGTTTTGCTTGTTTTGTTTTTTAGATTTCACATATATATAAAATCATGTTCCTGAATTTTAATGATTTTTGAAGTTTTCTTTGACAGTCTACTGCTTTGTGTGTGGGGTTTTTGTTTGTTTTCATTGTTTGTTGTTTTTTTTTTTGTCTTCCCTATTAGACTTCTCTTGGTTACCTTCTTGTTCCTAGCCTGACTGTGTAATATGTTGTAGAGAATTGAACAGTTGATAAAAAGATGTAAATTTATCAGTTTTGAATTTCACTATAGACTGATCTTGGTTGGCTATTTTTGGACAGCTCCCAAGATCTTAAGGTCTTAGGTCTTCTGCTTGGTAGATACCTCCAGAGAACAATTTTCCGTTTTCATACATGGAGTATTATAAGAGCCAGACTGCCAGCATTTTGGGAGATTAATGGAAAAAGAGGACTGGGGGTTTCCAGGGTCAGCAGTCAATCCTTTTTGGCTTGTTACTATCATTTTTATCTTGATATTGTTTTCATGCATTTACCAGGATGAAGACAGCAGGTACTCAGTGGAGTATGGTGAGGGCATGTAGAGTATCTTACTGCTTCACAAACAGCTTTCACTACTATTCCTTTTTTAGTTGTACTATTATAAACTGTTTGCTCCCATCATTCCAATTTGCCTAATTCTTCTAGTTCCTGTGTCTTTCAGATTTGCTTCCATGTAAATCAAATTGGCTCCTAAACTTGTCCCCAGTGTAGCTTGGAATATGGTGTTTCGGCAACTGCCAAGTTATCAGTGGTCCTGCTTATTTTCCAGCTCTCAAAATCTTTATAGTTCCTGTCTCTTACTTTTCTCCCTGTTCATGTGGGTTTATGCTTTCAAAAACTACCTTTATTGTAGTTTGTAGCATTTGAAGAAGTGAAATTATGTATTTTCAGTTTATCATCTTAATACCCTTGTAATACTGTTTTCCCTTTTAATGTACATAATGTTATAATACTTGTGTGATTAAAGTGTATTAAATAACTAAGTAAATGAAAAGTAGATTCACTTTCTATCCAATACAGTGAAACATTTTATTTAGGGTCTATGGAATTTTCAATATTTTGCATATGTAAAGTTTCCTTATAGTGTGATATATGATATGTAAAAACTATAGTAGTTAACTATGTTTACTTCTCTTCTACTTATTTTTTTATTACTGCTGTGTGACCCCTGGCAAATGATGACATTAACTACTCATTAAAAATTTGAGATTATTTCACTGTTATTTTACATGATCATTGTAGGGACAAAATGATAAAATTATGTGAAAGGGGCTAGTTTTTATTTAGGAAGAGACAAACTATTGTATAATCATGGAAATGTTTACTAACATTAGAAATTGTTTCCAGATGTGTTTGCTTTTACAAATAAACAATGACTGTGTTTATTAGGACTGATCTTATTTGAAACAGATTTCTTATAATTTATGACATATAATCAAGCTAAATTTTTCCTTAGCAAATTTAAAAAAAATTAAAAGTAAGTAATATACTTAAGTTCCATAATTTTATATAAACTTCCTTCAGAGTTCAACTGTTCTAAGCCCAAGATAGCTCCTGTGTACTACCTATATAAAAACACTCTGAAAACTGAAAAGTGTTCTACAGAAGAAGGTATTTTTCCATCTTGGGTATGTAACTGCAGAGGATTATTTTTAGGCCAAGACTAAAATTTTAGTTGACTTACTAGTTGACTTTTCTTGGAAAGTAAAGTTGAGATACTAAAAATGAAGGTTGTTAAATATACAGAATTTTTTGAGATTTTTTGGTAGAAATGAAAACACTGGGAATTACTTGCAATTCACCATCTATTGAGCAATGGAAGTGAATGGAAAAAATTAAGGTGTAATTTCTGTCCTGTATGAATTCATATGTAAACATAAAAGTAATGAAATGTAAGTATTGATGATGATGCATAAAAGACCTTGAGCAATTATGCCTGATTTGGGGAATGGGCAGAGTAAGATAGGAGAAGAGTAGGGAAAGGATTGTTAGTGATAATAATTTAGGTTGAATCATGAATATCATTTATCAAGTGAACTAGGATAGTTTCTTTGGTATAGAGAGTGAAAAGTGTTGGCAGTGTGGCACCAGTTGTCTCAATAACAGCCTGACTGTTTTGCTTAACTGTTTCCATGACTCATAGAAACAGAACGAATGTGGGAGGGATGGACAAAGCCCCATGGGCTTGGACTGAAAGTAGACTAGGGTGTATTTCAGTTCTTAGCAGTTTTATGAAGTTATTTAATCTCTGATCCTGTTTCCTCAATCAGGAATTAGAGATAAAGCCTACCTTGTAGGGTTAGTGTGAGAATTAATTGGAATAATGTATGTAAATCTTATTTGAAGGCTTCATCTATATTAATGTAACTCTTACTATTTTGTCTTCTAAATCACTATGCATGAATTAGACAATCAGTGTATTTATTGATTCAATTTATGTGCCTTAGGGTAATATGGAAAATCTAGTAAATTAGTAGTAAAATGACTGTAGTAGCTGTCTCTTATTTTGAAATTTAAATTGGGTGAAAAGTAGCTCTTAGTAGTAGTAGTAGCAGTAGTAGTAGTAGTCCGCAACTTAGCCTGCCCAGGAAAGCTTAAACTGAGAAAAAAGTAGCGAGGGTTTAAACTGGAAAGGCATTTTGCAAGATAACAGAGGCTTTAAAGGGAGTAGGGTGGTAAAGTCATCTTACATGTGAGGGTGTGTTACATAGTTTAAATCTTTGTGGAACAGATTTCCAAAAGAATCTGCTTCCTGAATATCAAGCTGCCCATCAGACAGCTCTGATCTGAATGTTTTGGTTTTTTGTCCACCCATTAACCATAGTCACATTCCAATGGTACAGTAATGTCTATCCTGTTGGAATCTTTCCCAGTTTAACCTCCTTTCATTTTTAATAATATAGATTTGAACCACTCTTAGAGGAATCAGTTATATTTTTGAAGAATTAGTGTGGCTTGGATGCAGTATAACTTTTTTTTTTTCTGATGCAGTAGTTAAAGCAGTTTTTACATATATTATCCAGTTTGCTTCATGGAGAATAAATAAGGACCTTTTAAAAGTGAGTTTTTTTTAATGGGAAATTTCAAATATATACAAAAATGGAACAAAATAATGAATTCTGTGGGCCCATCACTCAAGTTGAACAATCATCAGCGTATGGGGTCCATCTTCCTTTAGGTACACTCCTACCATTCCCCTATGCCCTCAATAAATTTTAATGAATACCTACATCTTTTGGTAGTTAGAGACAAGATAACAGGGCAGCTAAATTTTAGGAAGGTAAACCAAGGAAGAGACAGGAAAAGGTGTATTTCCTGTCTGATGTGAGCTATCAAGCAAACAGGTTCTTTCTGTGATTTTTTTTCCTTCTCTTGATGGCTAGGTTATTGCCAAGACAAATTTGTTGGGATCACTCTCAAATTTGTTTTAATATACCCTTTTGTTCTATGTTTTTTCCTCAGGGGTATCTACATTCTTTATTTTTATTTGCTTTTCAACAGTATCAAAAGTATTGGGGGATCTATGGCAGGGCATGAAAATTTAATTTGCCCTGGGATCAAACACTCACCTGGAGATGTCTTTGTGATCGCCTGGACTATAGAAGAAAATAAATTGTTTTTATCTTTATGGCAGATTACTCAAAATGAGCTTCTTGCTGTACTATCTAATGACTCTAGTCCTTACCAGTAGTTATTTACAATTATTGTCAAGAGTAAAAAATTTGATTGCTAGATTTGAATACTGTGGAGCTTAGATTTTGTGTGAAAAATCTTTAATTAGCTTTCTATAAATGGAAATTGACAATCGATTTAAACAGCTTAATTTTCCAGAAATTATAAAAATTGGCACTCTTTTCATGATAAAAGTACTATAAAAGATGAAAAAAAAAAAGGGCCTTGAGCAGAGTTTGACTTTTTTTTTTCTGGACTGCAATGGAGGCTTTCTTTCAGACGAATTCCCTGATGTTTGCTGTGTGTGATTTGGCTCTATCTCTGTAACTGCTAATATGTGGCATGGACTTCAAGCTGTCTGGGATCTGGGTGTGCTCAAAAGTCTGTATTGCAAGTCAGGATTCACAGGCATTATGTTACAAAACTGGCTTGCTGCCTTCTCTTTTTTCTGTGTCCTGAGTAGCTGCATTGTTTGTTGCAGTGTATGCATTAGCTGTTGTCTGTGTTCAGTTTCCTGCAGGCTGACAAAGTGGGAGGGGCTTTGTTTGATACATAGCTGAGTTTTCACTGAGTTCTGGAGTGTACATTGCAGCCATCTTAATTACACTTTAGTGCAACTGAGACAGTGCAGCTGTCTCAAAATGGCTGCTAACATAGTCTTTGTAGCTGCTTAGGCAGCAACTATGCCAGTGAACAGCCTTGTCAAATGCGTCAGGACCAGAGGTAAGTGCCAATTACTCTTATCTTTGAACATTTTAATTAAAAAACATTTGAATTTTTTCTGAGTTTTTAGATTATAAAGGAAAGTGATCTTAGAGCTTGCTTGCTAAGTAGTTGAAATGTTTGCTGGTAGAACCTTTAAGCTTCTATTATGGAAACAGTTTATAGGGTGGTGAGGTCAAAGGTTAAATTCCTGTAATTTCTCACCATCTTATGTTCTGTCAGTTGCCAAAGTGTTGATCACTACAGTAGTGCTTTTCTGGCTCTAATTAACTTAATATTCCTTTTGTATTGGATATTTTAGTTTGCTTGATATTTATTTGTAGAAATTAAGAACAGTATATTGTCTGAATAGATTTTCTCAAAAGAAGCCATAAATAAGCCCTGTTTTTTTACAAAGGTTGAGATTTTTCTGGTTTTGTGTGTGTGTTTTAGAGATACTGTTTGGTGGCTTTCAGGGAAGAATGTTAATTTTCTTGATATAGATCATAGTTACAGGAAGAAAATTTTTTTACACTTGTTAGACTTTTTCTGTACATGAGTTCCAATTCTTCTCATTATGTTGCCTCCTCCTGGCCATCCAATTCTTTCACATTTTTAATGGTGCTAACTTTTTTATCCTAATCACTTTTTGCTTAAATTGATTGAGATTAAGATGTTGAATTTAGAAATAAGTTGACATCTAGGTCTGGATACGTCTTTAGCTAATGTATTCTAATGCAACAGAGCTGAAGTAAATAATCATATTAATTAATTGATATTAATTGTTGATGTTCACTTTGGTCTTAGATTAAACCTGTTACACTTAAAAGTAATATAACTCAGTGATTTTGTTTACTTAGTTTTGAAGTTTTCCCAAAGGTTTCATAACATTGTTCTGAAGTAAAAGCATTTATTGAGATATGGTAAGTCCATAGTAACCCAGAAATGCAGGAGAATGGAATTCTTACTCCCATGATATTTCAGACAGCAGAACAGTTATACTTTAAGCACCAGTGTTTAATTCACAGTGCTTACTACATTTCTTTCCAAGTAGTATAGTATATTTCTCTAGCTTTGTCAATAGAGTATTATTAATATACCCCTAATATGACATAGAGCAATAAGTTTTGAATTTTCTAAATACAATTTTTAAGAAACAGCAACTCTTTTGCACATTAAATTCTTATGAAGGACCTCGGTATATAAAAGGGGTCCGTTTGGTATTTTATTGTGTACTTATTTTATAATTAAATTTATAATATTTACATATTTTAAGTTTATTTAATAAAATAAGAACAATTAGGCTGTTGTGATGAAAACAAATTTTGAAGCCAGATCATATATAACCATTATAATCTTATATTAGTGTCAGTATCTAGGTCTCTTTATTTGTAGAACTCCAGGCATGAGGGTACTGTGAAATTCAGTTTGAAAAGTATTCTTAAAAACATACATTCTTTATGTTCTTTTTTGATTTTCATGAAGGTACAGTATAAGGTCTGCATTTACATGATACAAGAGTTTAAAATTGCTGCCTTGCCACAAAACTGTTTATACTTGTTCTTAGGTTTTTTTGTGTTTTTTAAAATAAAATTGTTGTTTTTCCTAACTTAGTGTTCATTTGTTCAGTGGCCTAAAATATATTTGGGATCACTAGCTCCGTTTTATTAATAGCTTTAGTATTTTTATCTCACTTCATTAATTTGTTATTTTGTAAAGTTGTTGGGACTATTTTGTATGATGTAGTGGTCTCAAAATATTCACATTATTTCATGTAAATTCAGTAATTTGAGCTTGCTCTTAAAAGAGAAAAAGAAGGAAAAACAATATGTGTGAGATATTCTATCCATCATGCCGTTCAGTAAGTTGTGCCCTGGAGCGAGTAAGATATAGGAAAGTGAATGTGCTATGACCTTAATCATACTCAGTTGTATGAACCACTAACTGTATTTCAAAATTTCATACAAGCAAGCCAGCTACTTCGTTTGAGGGAATGCTGGAGAAAAATTGGGTAGGTTGAAATTACTGATCAATTTATGTTGATCCTCATAGTAGAACCTCAGGGAAATTTTAATGATCTACTCTTTTTTTGCCTTCTGTTGTGGACTATAAAATTTATCTCCACCCTCCACAAGATGACTCCACTGATTATTACTTACAGAAGAGAAACACCAATACTCTGGTACCCAGGATATTATTGCTAATTTTTTCACTGCCATGTTGCATTTTTGCAACTATAAGCATAAACAGGCCTTCACTGGGATTATTATTTTTGGGACTGGTGACAGTTCAGATTTTCTAGGATGAATTCCAGGTTGGCTATTATGCTGAATGATTGAGGGTATAATAAAGCCAGTAGCTGGATAATTGAGGTTTTATGTTATTATTTTGTCATTTCTTGTCCTCACTTGATTGCTCTTTTTCATAAGCTATTCATTAGGATATACCATTAAGGGAAATGTTGAAGTAGTGGAAAGAATATTGACAAGAGTTCAAATGTAAATTTGGATTTTGTTTTTGCTACCTTTTTAACATATTGGTCAGCTCATTCCATTTTCTGATTCTTTTCCCCCCATCTAATAAGTAGGGAAAAACTATCTGTGTGCCAAAGATATGCTGAGGATCAGTTTGCACAGTGTTTCTGAATGGAGCCATGAAATACTGCATAAATGTCTGGCATGCTAATTTTCCAGTAGTATTTTAATACTTTTCAGTTTCTTTGCCTCTCAGATGTCATATACTTTATCAAATTGATTAGATCAGGGAATATGGTGTGTTTTAAAAGTATGGGAAATTTCTCATATAACTATCCTCAAAAAAAAGTTCTAGCTAACGTCAATATATGTACTTGTTAATATGATACATTTTTGTTTGTACTACTGGCCCTGCTCTGTTACATAAATAAGTTAGCCTTTGCTATATATGGATAGTGCAGATGTGTTCAAGTAAAGCCAGTATGGAATGTTGGCATTACAGAATTAGAGTTGGAGAAATGCTTCAGTTCTAGTCTGACCGAGTCCTCCAAATGTGCAGTGAGGTAATAATTTCTCTAAAGAGATGACTTGAACTCAGGGCCTAGGATTTTCTGTTTCAGTACAGATGAGAATTTTGAAAACAGTGCAGTTCTTTTTCAGAGGCCACAAACTGGCAGCTAAAGGACTTATTTTATCCTTTAGCTTTTTCTCTAGCTGTTAACATTTAATGCTGTCAGATTTTAACCTAAAAATTTGGATGAATCATCTTTTGGCAAATATAAATTGGGCAGTGCTAGAAGTGCATTTATGCTTGAGAAAAATAATCTTCAGTTGAATAGCTGCTTTCCCCTTTCCATAAGCCTACTCCTGTGCATATCTAGTTCTCTTCATTGATTCATATTACCTGCTGGGCCCCTGTAGGCTGTTCCTTGGAAATCCGTGTCCTACTTATTGAACAGATTGTTGGCAACCTTTAGTATCTAAAAATACAGCTTCTAACCAGGATGTAAATAAACATAAGTAAATTCTAGCTTACTTCACTTGGTAGAGACAGCATATGTGAAGTCAGTTTATTCTTTAGAAGATATGGCACCTTTGTTAACTTTTAGCATTGTCCTAATTTTTGTATTAGAACACCATGATGGCTGATTGAAGGAGAGCCAATGACATCAGCAAAAAGTGACAATTGATTCAAAGTGAAGAGATAAAAGAAATACTAATTGGAAACAAATAAGTACTTTAAGTCTTCTAATGTGAAAATAATTCTCCAATGTTTTCACTGTGTTAAAGCTATCACTATCTACTTGATGTTCTTAGTTCTTAATGATATTAAATAAAGAAAAGTCAAATTATATTCAAGATATGCAGTTTACTGAAGAGGTATCTGAAATACATTTTTAGAAGATTTTTGCTTAAACTGGTTGAGCTAAAGTTTTAGCATTTAAGATGAGTAAGAAAAGAAAAAATTTTCTTAACTGTACTAGATTAGATAATTTCAGAGGACATTATGACATAACATTTGCCATCTCTGCTATGTGAAGACTATCTTGATGATCCATGAAACACTGTGGTTTATAATCATGATCTGATGTGAATTTGAATTCCACATTTTCCAAAGTGAAAGCCCAGCTTCTTAGCATTCAGTTAATATCATAACATTGGTTAACTCTAGGGAAGTGTTAAAAGGATGTTCTTCTTTGGAAAGTGGCTTTTGAGTTAGAAAACTTAGTGCAAATTGAAAAAGCAGTTAATTTTTTGCACAAGAAACTGACTCCCCTGCTTTCTAACTGACACTCTCCAAAGAGAGTGATTTGGGAGAAAGTTTGAAGAATATTCAGATAAGGGATTTTTTTTTAATTGCTCAGGTTAGAACTGTCACAGAGAATTCTCAGTAATTTGTAACAGTCTGTTACTAGTCCTTAATGCAGAAACATGGAAATGATGAAAACAGTGCTTATTGACTCTTTGAATCTTAGAGTTTAGTCCAAGAGGGAGTTTAACTACAGAGAGAAATCTGAGGAGTTGATTCTGCATCTGCCTTAGGCTTCTACCTTCGTTTCTCTGAAGTAAACCAGGCGTAACTGCCCAGGAGAGCCATCTGACCTGGTGCTTTCCTTTGCTGACATAGAAGTATCATGGCATGCATAGTGGAATATGCTAGTTCGGAAGTCAGAAATGGTTATTTTTGTTCTGGTACTGCTGTTAAGTAATCGTATAGTTCCTGGGTAAATTATTTAAGCCCTTAATGCCATTCCTTGACCCTTAAATATAAGGGAGGTGGTTGGATTAGATAAGGAGTTGGGAAGAATGTGAACTTTGGAGTCAACAGTCAAGGTGAATTCATGTTTTTCCATTCACTAGTTAGAAGTTTATAATATAGTATATATGGTGTTCAAAGTTTGTACTACTTGTTTAGTACAATGCTTGTTTATAGGAAGTATGCAGTAAGTCTTGTGCATTATTTTTTATGGGATGAGGCTAGTTTATTTTTAGAACCTCAGTTATCTTTAAGATGGGGATAAAATCTACCAGAGTAGATACTAGGAT